GTTGTCTGCCCTGGGAAAAAGAAAAAAATGCAGGAGCGTGCACCACCTTGCTCCGAGACTGAAGAGCGTGCATCCTCTCTCTCCCGCTCGAAATGTAGGAGTGTTTTTTTCTGCTCACAAAATGTAGGAGCCCTCGCTTAAGAAGCCCAGCTAAAATGGATGCCTGACCCATGATGACAGAGGGAAAGAGAGATGAGCAGAGCAGGCAAAAAAAAAGAAAAAGAAAAATCACAGTTGCACACATACAGATGCAGCGATGTGCATGATGAGTTTTACACTCATTGCATTTCACAAAACCTCACATGAACAATACAATATCCTTTTTTTCTGTTATTGTGTATGACCACACTCTGGTCACTGATCTTCACTCCATTTCTTCAAAAGTCGCTCTTTTGCTCCATTTTTTTCTCTTTTTGTATTTCCCTTAGAGTCCTTCCATCACTCCCACTCTGCCTCTCTCCCCGAGGTCACTGAGGGCAAGCATGGTGCCGTGGACTGGAGCATGAATATCACGTCGGGCTTTTTCGTGTATTTGCAGGCAGAGCCGCAGCCCGGCATTTCGCCACAGAGCAGGTTTGCCGTCCGTAGTACTCAGAGTGTATTTACATTTTTAAGATGTTGAAGAGCTTTTTGTGCTCCAGAGTTCAGGTTTGCAGCTGCAGTCAGTGCTGTGCTGGCTTTTAGATCTGAGCGAAAGGAGATGGATAGCGGGTAGGAACGCGCAAATCTTATTTTGTCTTTGCGCATACATGCGAACAACTGCTTTGCTCGAGTATTAACATTTTATGCTTCTTTATATTTCCACTTCTTTTGCCTTTTAGCTGTTACATTCAGTACATTTACACGATAAAACATTAATTCAGTATTATAGAATATATACTACCCAACGCTTCGTAAAAGAGTCAAAACTCGCCTAATTACGCAACTTTAAAGTCTGCTTACACAGTAAGTCATCAACACAGACAGGCAAAGCACGATGAATAATTAACCCATACGAAGAGTATTTTCTGCAGGGCTGCAATTTTGCTTAAGGTCTCAGTACTTTTTCATCCACAGTTAAACTATCAGATTTACATTGTAAATATACTGAAATTTATGGCAACACTGTACTTAATTATGATAATGGCAATAAAGCTAATTGGAATTAGCGACCAAGACGGAGGTGAGAGCTCAAAAGAAAAATGGAGAGACCCAAATAGCAGCAGTGACACACCGGTGAAAGTATAGCGGACTAAGTCATGATTACATAAATCACCGAATTGAGGTCATATCCCTCTTTCAAATGTCTTCACCATGAGTCACTGAGTGTCACAAACTCTATGTCAGTGCCTGTCTCTTCCCCACCACTCTGCAGCCGTAGGCCTTCCGAGGGAAGACGACACAGAGAGACAAGGCAGTGGGGTAAGGAAGAGAGAGAGGGAGAGAGTACATTTTTCCTCCTCCACCTCAACCCTCTCTCGGGGTGTCACGTCCTATTTGTGTCCCGGGGCCGCCTCTCTAGCGATGGCGATGGTGCGAGGGGCTCTCTCGCTTGGATGGCGAACGGGGAGGACTTGGTAGCACGAAGCAAAGTCCTCTGTGCTCACATGGGAGAAAGAGCGAGAGGATCTGCAATGGAGGGAGATGCAGAGAGAGAGAGAGAAACAGACATGCACCCATTCAGCCATGTCTTTGACATGGGAGTCTTTCCGACAGGCGTGAAGAAAGGAAGGGCTGACTGGGCTGAGTGAGCTCAGCCCCGGACACACACACAAACATGTTTTTGTCACTTAAGAGGACATTGCATTGACTTGCGTTCATTAGCTTCAAATTTAATCCAGCGTTAACTGCGAGCCACGACTAGCCGCAATGCTAACTATGATCTTTGCTAAATAAAAACATATTAACCCTAAAAGGCTTCGCTTTTTGGGGATCAGGTCCCCATGATGTGGATTTGTGACAAGATATCTGACTCCACAAATTGACTAACAGCACACACACCTTTTGCATCAGCCGTCTCACACTCATATACATATTTGCACATGCAAACACGCTTCTGCCTGTCTCTCGGTAACCATCATTTGAACGTCATCAACTTTTTCCTATCTAGAATTTTCTCCCCCTCATCTTTACATCCTTTCCTACCCTCCATGTTCTTCCTTCCATGCCTTTGCTGCTGCCGCCGCTGCTGCAGTGAGAGAGAGAGAGAGCAAAGCCACATAAGGTTATACACAGTGGCATGACGCCATGCATTTTGATTTATAGATCTAAAATGGCCGCCGTGTTGTGACTGCTGTACAAGGCTGGATGGAGAGCGAGGGAGTGGTGTGGGGGTGTCAGGGTGGAGGTGTATGTATACTCAGAATAGCAGACCTTTGCTTGGACGTGGCGCTCCCTTCACACGGAGCATCCTCTGCCCCGGAGGGTTCTCTGCTACTGTGGTTTGGTGGTGATGGCTGATTAATTAGGCCATGATGTACAAAGCTCTTTGCTTGTGCCGGCTGGCTAACCACAGTGCTGGTGGATACAAGCAGGAAAATTGGTTCTTCTTTAGCAGACTGCTCACAGTTTGCCTTTTTAAAAGGTAAATACGTCTGTGCTCGTGAGGCTCGGGCTCTGTGTTAAGGACTGCATTGTGTTGTAGTTTGGATTGTGGACACTGGGTCCTTCCTGCAGGGAGATTAGAGCCCTCACATTGTAGCGGCAACCACTGAGGAGTTAGAGGTCAGCTGCTGCCTCAGCCTCTCTGTGGGGTGCAGAGCTTTGATTTACTGACTCCACTGCATCACCTCCAGCAAACCCGAGCACACACGGTTAGTACCACACTGCCTCCATGTGGGCAACATCACACACTACCCTGCTGCTTTTCACTGACATTAGTCTCAGCTGGAAATGATATTTTTTCTGATATTGTCTCCCTCTCTCATCACACAATTACTGATGACCAAAGGTATGAGGTTAGCTTGTTGAACTCTCACAGCTAAATAGCTCTAGGCAGTGAAAAACAGCATACCGCTGCTTCATTGTGAGTTTTTATTGTTTCTCTTTTCCAACAGACTCATCAGCTCAATTATAATTAGTAATTTAATCAAAGAAATTGTAACAGTTTTGATGATGGACTGACTGATTTAACAAGCAAAATCTGGTCATGTGGGTTTTTTACTAAGTATAGTCACTGTCTACTTCATTGGCTTTAGCTATTCAAGTGTTTGTTAATACAAATATCTAATCAGCCAATCACATGACAGCAACTGTATGTATTTAGGCATATAGACATGGTCAAGATGATGTGCTGAAGATAAAACTGAATATCAGAATGGGGAAGAAAAGTGGTTTAAGCTGCACAGCCGTCCCTTGGGTTTAGCAGCAGTTCTCTGAATGACAATGCCTTGTTGATGCCAGAGGTCAAAGGAGAATGGCCAGATTTCTTCGAGCTGACAGGAGGACAACAGTAACACTATAACAACTTGACACAACCAAGGTATGCAGACCACACCCAGCGTCACTTCTGTCAGCTTAGAACAGTAACGTGAGGCTACAATTCACAAAATCTGACAACATAGAAAATTGGAAAATGCTGCCTGGTCTGATGAGTCTCGATTTCTGCTGAGACATCAAAATTTGCCACAAATTCCTGAAAACACAAATCCTTACCGCTGGTGGAGGTTTAATGGTGTTTCGTGGCACACTTTAGGTCCCTTAGGACCATTTGTACATGGTTGCTAACCATGTACATCCGTTTATGACTGCAGTCAATATGGAGCAAAATCCCTGATTATGTTTCCATTGGGGTGAAGAATTAAGGAAAAAGGGATCCAGCCTAGTGCTGGCAATATGTACCCTATCCCTAACCCTAAAGTGACCAGCGAGTGTATAAAAATGTCAACTTAACAGTAACTAATCAATTTTCAACAAACAAAATATGGATTAATTAACCCCAACCCTGATTACCAGCGGTGCTGGTTAATAAAAATGAAGCAGAAGAGCTCTCATAAAACCAAAGTGATGAGCCAAAACCTGCTCAGAAGGACTGTAAAGTTTAGGGATAGATCTTTGAGGTTTGTACAATCACAACCTTCTACACAATACTCTTATCGGATATAAACAACATACTTAATGACTTACATGCAGAAGGTAAGAACATGCTCATCCTTCTTGAGCACATTCAGCTCTTGTTTTGTTGTACTTTCTGAGCCCATCTGACGCCCCCACAAAGCAAAGCACCTCAGTGCTGCAAACTGCTCTCTCTGAGGTGTAGCAATCTGTTGTACACACAAGCTACTTGTTGCCCACAGACAGTCCCAGTGCAGCTCAGACTTGTTGTTTGTCAGCTCTCAGGAGCACTGATCTAGAGAGGCCTGAGTGCTTGTATTATTAGATAGAGAAAACCACTCAGCACAGCAGGTAAACCTTTGATATATCTGTCAGAGGTGTTTTTCAAGGCGTTATGAGTGTCTATGTGAACGAGCGTGCTGCTTTAGTGGGTTTGAAGCCTTCTCTCAAGGTGTTTAGAAAAGGCTAAGTGTGAAAATGTCTTAAAGAGGCCTCAAAGAGAGCGGATACTCTTTGATGCTTTGTCCCACAGAGAGAGCCACAGAAGCACGCTGCACTACAAAACAAAAGATGTTCCTTTCTTCTGTCACTCAATCACCCTGCTTTCTAGTTGAGGAGCAGAAACTCTTTACTGTATGAGGGAGATATATTGGAAGTTCACACGCAATACACTACAGAATTTGAAAAAAAAAACATTTAAGAGGTGTGTTCATTTGAGGAAGCTAAGGGAGTTGGAGAAAGCAATGCTGAATATATTTCATGAGTGTGGTAATGAAAGCAGTGTGGAGAATACAAACCCACAACGTAATGACAATGACTAACCTCAGTCAATGGCATCACTGTGCTGAGCATCAGCTGAATAACAAACAGTGTACACTATGAACAGGTGCTTTTTTTTCTTTTCTTTTTATTTCTCAGTTTGCATTCAGTTTTAACTAAAGTGGTGAATGTTTGTGTTTTGTCTCTAGGAGCTGGAGAAAAAAGGATATGGGCCCATTACAACTGAGATTCTGGTTGGACAGCAGTTTTACTACGCTGAGGACTATCACCAGCAGTATCTGAAGAAGGTACCTAAAGGCTACTGTGGCCTCAAAGGCACCGGGATTTCCTGTCCCATCGGCGCCAGAAAGGATGAAATGTGAGCCACGTGTGGTGAGAGAGGGAAAATACTCAGCTCGCAGAATATGCTTCTAGGCACTAATTTCATTGTTCGCAGTCCATGCATCTAATTCATTTTCTTTTTCTTATAAATGGACTGTATCTACAATGCATCTGTCCGTATTTGTAAGATAATAACACATTAGTCAACATCATTACTGAGCCTCATATCTGTTATAAGCTTCAGTAATTCCTGGCTGCCTTCCAGCTATGGAGAACACAAACATGTGTAAAACATTTTTGAGAGATTTTCTAAATAAAACAAAACAAAAAAAACCTTGAAAAACTTGGAGAGCAATGACACAAAATAAATGTTTAAAAGCTGCATAAAAATTAATTTGAAACATGATTGAATTTTGTATTGCAGTGCTCTTTTTGACTGCAGTAACTAACAGCTTCCAGAGGGTGGCGAGATTTCACAAAAGAAATCCATACGTTATGTATAATATACATATAATGTGGGATGATGTTGCAAAGGAAGAGTGTATAAACATTGTCTTGGTAAACTGGAAGATGAAACGGTTTTCCAACCTGATCCGTGTAATCCGTCTCACCTCCAACACTGCCACAGCACTGTGACAAAGCTCAGTTTCTTATACTTCTTAGCAGGCAAAGACACCAATACTAGCTTGATTTTAATGCTGTTTTTCTTTAGTTTTTAACTTTTCTAAACACTGCAATTTAATTCCTTTTATTACTTGTTGTTGCCTTTCTTATTATTACACTGGAAATAAAAATGTTTCTCCTCCTACCTTATGTTTAGTGTGCAGGTGTTTGTGTATATATGTGTCAGTATGTGTTAATTTATGCATATGTCTGCCCACAAAGCTCTGTATATATACACACACAGATATCTATATTTATAAAATAAAGAAAAACCACTGCGTAAAGTATTTTGTCCCCTTTTCAGCCCCATTTGAGAAGGGACGTACCACTGGGGGGGACAAATGGGTGACTCACTGTGATAAACAGATGCACATTCAAAGGCCATTCATTCTGAATCACACAATGACACACTTGAATACCCGTGCATTCAATATGATACACGGTTTGCTTAAACTTTCACTCTACGCTACGTAGCCCATAATTAGGAATGAAAGGCTCATTATTTGACATACTTAAAAGAATTGAATTTCCGATTCTGCCTTGTGTGCAGAATTTCTTGCGTGTTTTTTATAATTAAACACATCAACATGAAAGTCTGTTTAAAAATGAAAATCACACACATGGTTACACTCCAAAATACAGAGATGATATCTAGAAAAAGCTTTCTGGTCGACCGCAGTAGTGTGATTCACCCCGCTCTTGTTCTTCCCCCTCCCTCTCTGCTATCTCTCTCTGTCTGTGTGTATGTGTCACATCCTGACACCTGTGTGTAGGTGTGGACCAGGGCACAGGTGCAGGTGCAACCTCTGTAGGCCTATTTTAGTATTGGGACAGATATTTTTGCATGTGTCTGCATGCAGCAGCTCTGTATGTGTGTGCGTGTGTGTCGAGGCATGTGAAGCTGTGGCTTGCTTGATCGAACCGCGCTGAGTGGTGTGTGGTTGGGCCAGCTTGCTGTTTTCCAGTGCCTGCTTATATTTTTGCATTCTGCTTTGCGTCTCAAGTGTGTGAGAGGAGATAACCTTTTAATGAAGCGATCTTCATTTCCCCCGTCTTTGACGAAGAGAGTGGCATTAAAGCCTTAATCGCGCTGTGACATCAGGTTTTCCGCCATCTGTGATGATTTCTGACTGAAACAAGAGATGCCTGAGTGAGCCACAGTATGATTCTCCCACAAAGCAGAGACGCCGTTATCACTAACTCAGGTTATGAGTTGATAATACGTAGGGAGAGATTTTTGTGTGGAAAATTACCGGCTTTAACACAGACATGTAAAAACGAGTGCCATTTAGAGTGTAGCTGCGTGAGTAAATGTGTTTTCTCTGTATTCCTTTGTAATAGATTAAAATGGGGCTTGGAAATGCTTGGTACTCTCATGTACGCATCCATACACAAACACAGTGAGGCAGAACAGGACAGGAACCAGGCTGTGTGCGCCCTTCAGACAGAGCCTATTGTCTGCAGATGGGCCTTTAATGGCCCCACAGCTGGCCACAAAGGGCTCACCGCTCCAGCGTGCTGCTTTGCCTCTCACTGGCCTATACTCCAAGAGAGGGGGCAGCTCACATCCATACCAGCATCACGCATTTGATATATTCTTTTTTTCTGTCACAAGAAATCTTTTTTGTGTATTACCCATCCGTTTTTAAACAACTGTGCTCATGAAAATCGTTGCCAGATGATTTGAAGAAAGCTTTTGCAAAGACCTGTGACACTGTGGAACAGTGGGCTGAAGCTGGTGCTGGTTGTTTATGAGAGGTACTCTGCACTCTTACCCACACGTGTACACTCAACCCTCACAAACACAAGTCCCAACCGCTACCTCGAACTCCGTCCTGTACTGCCGCCTAATGCAAAAGGCAGCGCCCACGCAAAAGAAGCAAACACACCAAAAAGACACCTTGCAGAGACGTGCACCCACACAAATTCTTGCACTCTGATATGCTCTCTAAGGTGTCCTCCTTTCATAGCTTTTCATGTATCTTCCCTTTAAGAGCTTCAATCGAGCTAACTTTATTTATATACCATACCCTATGTGCATACACCATTGGAGAGAGCATTGTTTTATACCATTTCCTGTTTTAGATACCATGTGGTGACATAATCTATTGTTTTAGACACCAACACAGCTTTTCTTGGAGAGCTATATATAAAGAACAATAGCACAGAGCGGTGTATACTGGTGCTGTCCTACCAGCTGGAGGATTGTTGTGCCTTCTTGTCCTGCTCCTCACATAATTATGAGAATTTGGAGCGATGCAACCATTTGGTTGTGTGGGGGTGCGTATCGTCTTCCGCACATGTGATAGCGAAGGGACGGGAGCGCTTTGCTTTTCTATAGGGCCTGTACATTACTCCGTGATGATATGAGAAGTTGTGTGCGGGTTTTGCAGATGCCAGATGTGTTTGCATCCCCTCTGTTGCTCTCTCTTCCCCTCCCTCTGGTTCCTGCATGGGCGCAGGGTCTCAATCAGAGCATCAGGGCTCCAGGAACCAGAGCACAGCAGTCTCTCTGTGCTGCCCAGAGAAGTGCAGCCTTGTCTGGGTCGATGCATCTGTGGCCTGGGGGCGAGCTGGGGGAAGAGGGCAAACCCTGGTGCCCCTGCATGCCGGTTTCACTCGAGGTCGGCTCTGTTAGTGCAGCCTGACCCTTTAACTCTGAGAGAGAAACACGAGCATATTACCAAATACGGCAGATCAGCTACAGCATGCCAGTCATTGACAAAGCAGTGATGTTGTGTTTAAAAAATGTACTCTCAAACAGGTTACTTTGGTGCAGCAGAAACGCAGGCTCACACATGTTCACATACACATGTGTTTTCCCAAAAAAGACAGAATGTTATAACTTTGTTCTTCTTTGCCACTGGGAATAGCACTGGGGGGGTGGAGGCCAGCACGTGCTGCAGGGCCCTGTTGGCTGCTAACTGGCCCACAGGCTTTCTGGCTGACAGCCCACTCCGTGACACTCTGCACCTGGGAGCCTGTGTGTTGTCAGCCATGCTAGCTAGCTCAAGCTACCACCACATGACACACAGGAAACACAGAAATAACTGCTGAGTGTCTTCAGCACAGTTATCACGTACTGGGAGTGTGCTGCTGACAGAAAATGGTTGAGAGGAGCTCTTAAAAGAAAGCAGAAAGATGTAGGAGTAATGGCTGGAATTGGACTGAGTAATAGCAGTATGGAGCAAGAAGAGAGAAAAGTGAAAAGAAAATTGAAACACCAAGATGCTTAGGCTCTTGCACCTGTGCCTCTTTGTGTTAGAAGAAGATTCCACTGGCCTTGATTCAAACACTGCTGAACATTTCTCTGACACATGCAATGCATCCTGTTTATCATGTCATTTTTATAATCAAGCCACTACAGAGATGATTGTGTAACAATCAAAAGATTGACATTTTGCAGCTGGGGCGCCCATATAACAGATACATTTCCAAACCATCTCTCTTTTATGTAGTGTGTGTGTGTGTGTGTTTTTATAGCTTTATCTGCTCTGTCCATCAACTGCTTGAGTCATTGCAGCTTCACATCGCGCAGGTGCGCAAGTTAAGTAAACTCTTAAAATTGCTAGCAAGCTCTCAATTAGAGCTCAGTGCAGGAAAGTATTGAGTAACGTTTGGGCTTTCAGGTGGCAATGTGCTGATGTGTAACCATTCTAAGGAAAGAGGGCAGAAACAGGACACACACACACACACACACACACACAGAGTCTTTGCATTGCAACATGCGCAAACTGTTTTCCGTGTGCTTGCCACAGCCAACTAATTTCTGTCAACGGTGCAGATTGAATCTTGGGTTCAGTTTCCTGATGAGACTCATCATAAAGATGGTGGCATGATGATGTTGCCTATTTGCAACTAAATATATGTTTCTGTCTAGGAAGTGGCGACAACAAAGGAAGATTAGAAATAAATGTGTAGGAAATGAGTAGATGGTGGGAGAGAAAAAGAAAAGGGAGGAGAGATGGTGCTCGCTGCACCAGGAGGAAGCTGGGTCTGATGCCACTCCATGCAGCTGCTCCCAAACACCCACACTCTTCCTGTTGGAGTGTGTGCATATGTGTGTGTGTGTGTGCGTCTATGTTTAGTTTTTTTGTATAGAAATTTACTTCCAACAGGTTCCAACACAGAATTATGTCATTCTGTGAAACATTTCAGTTGATGCACGCAAAAAGCAAATTATAACCTCCATGGTGTATGAAAGAGAAAGGGTTCAGCAGCGAGGCACGAAGACTCTTGGTATCCTACTGAAGACGTAATTTTCTCCTATGCGGCTGAGGCCCTCTGTGTCTTTTCAAAGAAATACTGGCCTCAAAAAACATCCGCTGGTGGAAACGCTGGCCTGTCAGTCAGTGAATGGAAAGGTTTGAGGTGAGAATGTGGCCACATTGAGGTGTCAGGGTGTGCAATTGTGTATGTGTCAATATATGAGTTTGGCGGTCTCTCTAAGTTTCCAATACAATAAAATGCAAAGAGTTTTCGTTAGCCACATTGCACTTGTGCTTTACACTGCACATTTGTCTCTGATCACACTGACCTCTGACATATACATAGTAACATGCACCATGTGCATCATTTCCTATTTATAGACCTCTGTGGGAGAAAAAAAAATATCAATACCTCAGAACGTTCAGCATATACATGATAAGTAACTATGACATATTAGACTATTAATGGCTTTGCATTTTTCTCATTTAACTGAATATTAAAAGTAGCAAAGCTGCTTCACAAAGACTGACAAAAAAAGAAAAGGCAAAAAAGGTTAAATGTATGCAACTTAATGCGTATTTATCAGTGAGACACCATCAGGGCTGTTACTTTAGATGCAGCCATAATGTCCTATTGTGTCAGCTGATCAAATATTGTCCTATAACGTGCTATTAAATTGGACTGGGTCAGTGGGATGATTAGAGACTTGTGCTACTGATTTTTGTTGTTTTATTGCTTTTTTTTTTTTGCAAATCTCCTTGATTGTTCATGATGATCCGAGTACTGTGTAATAGTCTATAGTAGACTATTACACAGTACTGCAAGTTGGTGTGTGGTTCTTATTGAAGAGAATCAGATTTTAATCAATTGATAGCATAATATGTATGCTACAATTTAACATACATATGTTTTTATTTTCGATCCCTAAGACTGACTGTAACCATGCTCCAAAAACATTGTGTAGCAGCCTCAGATACGAGAAGTGGACTTAGCCTAGTCCAAGGCTAAAAATGCTTACAGGGGCAACAAAAAATTGTCATTTAGTTTAGACTAGTTTTAACCAATGTCTACGAAATTGGCTATAAGGAAATAAAAACTAATGCATGACGACAAAAAGTGTGAGGAAATGAACTGACGCTCACTGTGCATGAATAAAAACATCTCTGCAGAGATGAGATCCAATCAGAACTACTTAATTGCGTAGAAACATGGGACGAGTTTGGAAGTGTGCAGTAAGATTAGATGCGCACATTTGAGCTGCCCCGGGGAACGGGTAGAGCTTTGTTTATTCTGGTAAAATGCTTTTTAAACTGTGTAAACTGTTACACTTTATATTTTATTCAAATGACTCAAGTTTAGATCTAGATTTAGTCTAATATAATCTCACGATATGCAGTCGACTAAAGCAGAGTAAAAAGAATTTAGATGACTAAATTACGGTTGAATAAAACTGACGTTTTAAATAAAAAACTATGACTAAACCTGCTTCTTTAGTCATTTAACCATGCATTTTATACACCTAAAGGACTTTGTCTGCTTACCTCACCTCCGTGGCCAATAGATGTGCATGTGTTTGGACTGTAGGAGGAAGCCCTAACTGGCACAGGAAGAAAGTGCAAGCTCCACGCAGAAAGGCCCCAGCTGGGGTTCAATTCAGGAACCTTCTTGCTGTGAGACGATAGCACTAACCCCTGTATCACCAGGCCACCCGTATATGGTAGCCTAGAAGACGCTTAGGTTTTAGGAAATCATGACTGGTGGGACTATATATGCTTTTTTTGCTTAAGAAGTAATCTTCTTCACTGTTGTATGAAACAACATGTATTGGCTCCCTTCCCAAGACCTCGTTCTGTGAGACATTTTATGAGAAGTGCAGTACTTTTGAGAAGAAACACACCAGCACCAGTACAAATGGAGGCCATCAAATACGAATTAGGCCAGCGGTGCATACTGATTTGTCGGGTATTTTCTAAAATCTCCTGTAGTGTGCAAACCTTTTGATGACAAATTTATTTTCCTCCACCTCATCAACTCGTTCTTTATCTTATCTGTATTTTCTGATCTGTCTTTCTCTTGTTCACTGGCTTCTCAGTCTGTCACACACTTTTTCCCCTTCTTCTGTTGGGGCCATGTGAGATGAGTACAAGACAGAGGAGAGTGTGAGCTGTGGTGAGCCACAGACCAAAATAACTGGTACTTTTTTCTTTTCTTTTTTTTTGTTATAAAAACACATGTGCATCCACCCACACGTAAAGTCACACATGCGTGCGCTGTCCCACGCATAAGCACAGTCACAAAGAGGTCCCTTTTACTTTAGGATCCCTGGAGAGGGGTGTCACTGGATGTATGTTTGGCTCTGTCAGTGGAGATGCAAGTATTGGAAATGAACCCCCGTGAGGTGACACTGTTTGGTAGAGCAGCGGAAAGTCTTTTCGGCTGTCTCGACTTAATATTAGAAGGTACCATTTGGAAATAAAGCAATTATTTCATTCTTTCGGTTTCCTCGTTTTGTGCGAGATACTGCTCACTCAGTCGGGTTTGCTTTCTCTCTCGGTCTCCGTTGCCGTCTCTTGTGACAGATCCTGCAGCCTCCCTGTCAAGCTGGCATAGTGGCATCATTCTAAAACTGGTATTAGGCATTTCCTGCTGCGTCCGTTGGCGGGTGTAAGGGTGTGTGTGTGTGTGTGTGTGTGTGTCAGCGCGCGCGTGTGTGTGTGTCGGGGCGGAACGCACCTGGTCCGCGCAGCTGTGGGGATCCTAGCAGGGGGGAGAGAGAGAAAGAGAGATATAGAGGAAGGAGAGAAAGAGAGATGGATGGGAGGAGACGAAAAGGGGGCCCTGTGTGCTTTATCGGGGACCCAACAAGTTCAAATAGAAAGAAAGAAAGATGCGGGTAGAAAAAGGGGAGATTTTATTTTTTTTCAGTCTGTTGCCGTGGCTTGTCGCGCAGGTCTTACACCGTATTCATTCCACAAGCTTCGAACTTTGTGAAACTGCCCTCTTAGATTGAGATTTTCGGGCTGTTGAAGACAGATTTGTGTGTCAAAGTTTCTCCGTCAGCCAGATGCAACTGTGATCAGCCAGATGCAACTGCGACGGAAATCTGTACGCTCTGTTTCTTCTCTCCTGGAATGGTTTGACAATCATCCCAAACACCCCACTTTTTCTAATAAATTGTTCCTGTGTGTATTTGAGAGTCATTTAAGTGAGACCCGTCCAAATGGCATTATGCATATCTCCACGAGGAAAGGAAAGGAAAGGAAAGGAAAGGAAAAAGCAAATATTAAATACTAGGTAGTGCGTCATCTATTTGGTTAACATGTAAAACTTAACAATATTAGGAAGTAAATGCAGCTCCTCTTTCGTTTGCCTGCTCCCAAATGCCTTACTGTAAGTTGTGTCAGTCTGCGCAAATGCAGTTCCTCTGGTCCTCTGCAGAGGGGGCAAGGAATCTAGGGGGAAAAAACCTATGGAAGAACAACGATAATAGTAAAGATTCTAGCATGCAGATTTAGAGTGAGCAAATAGGCCAATCGCAGGAGGAAACCACGTAGGAACCCACACTGTGAGAAAACAAACAGATGTGTTTATGAGGCTTTTTCATTTAAAGAGCACAGAACTTCTTCAGGATGTAACCAAAGCGCAGATGTGCACAGTCTGTTTTACAGCTGGATGACCAAGGACGGGTCAACACTGGAAAGGTCAAGTGACCAGGCCGGAGGTCACGCTACAGAGAACCGCAACTCAGGAAAGATGAGCACAAAGGAATCTAGTGCACAATACACACTCACACCCTCTCGCACACATTCACTCAAGCCATCATTAAAACTGTTGCAACTCTTGACCCTTTGCTCCACATGGGTAGAGAAAGCGGATAGTCTCAGTCTGCATTCTGACGGCAGACACACACACACACACACACACACACATCACCACCCCCTTCATTAGGTCATTTGATTAGAAGCCACCGGGATGACATGGGTCAACATCAAAGCAGCATCTCAGCAGAACAGATGCAAATAAAGTTAACTTCATTCTCTGGAGATTAGATTGTTACAGTCAAACTCGTGCAATAAAATATGGAACATACGGGGAAATGTTAGGCTTTATGAGAAGAAGGTTGCAGATATCTGGTGAGCTCTTTCTAACTCAAAACTACCAGCTTTCCTTCACTTCCAGACATATTGTCACTTATAACAGCAGCACTTCTCGTGAACTTTACATGGACTTTCATGTGTAGAATCTTGAACTTTAAAATGTACTGATGTTTTGATTGTGTTATGCATATAAAATTTAAACTGTAGAGGTTTTTATCTCCAGTTTGATCTTCTCACACATGAGAAAAACAACCAAATGCTACCTTACTCACAACATCTGATCTAACCCATTTTAACATTGCTGCAGAACTTACACTTGTGCCCCTGGTACACCATGTTTTACCATTTACTCTTTCCTTAATGTCCCTTAATGTTACTTGTAGCTATAGTTACTACTGTTGAGCAGAACCTAAACTGTCTCCTTTTAACTAGTGTGCAAGTATTTGCAAACTATTAACTGTGGCCTTTTTTTACATTCTCACACAACCTCAAAAAAGCTGCTTTTTAATGATATTCAGGAGATGTCGGGTCACAGCAGGTGAAATGAAATGTCGTAATTACATAGAGGTGACTGGACTAATGCATTACAAATTGTGGTACTACTAAGTGTTCTAATTAGAGCAAAATGGATTTAGCAGCTATTTCAATTTGCCTAATTGCTACCTAATTTGACCTTTCAGTAGTTAGACTTTTGTATGTATGTGTGAGTTACTTTTTGGCGTTTCTTCATGTGGGCAGTTAATGCTGGCCATCTATTTTGAGAAGGATGCAAAATTAAATTAGAGAGCATTTGTGGCCTCTTATATGCGTACAACATCCAAAACATCAGGGGGGAAAATTCCCTGAGATGGGAACAAACGCTGGTTGTGATTGTTATTTTCCAGTTACATGCATGAATGTATATACTTTGTGTTTGCATGGTTTGTTTAATTGCAAGCTACTTCCAATTTAAAACCTCTTGTTCTATAAACAGCAGTGAAACAATTGTGGTTATTATCACAGCAACGTGTGAAAAATGCCTTTGATGGTCTGTGAATGTCATTTCCCATGACATCTTAAACCACTTAACTGTAGTCATTCCTTATTATGGCTACCTTGGGTTCTGTTTGCTGTTTTACTTTAAATTACCTGCAATACACACAACCACGCGTGCACACACACACATGCACACAATCTTATCAGTAGATATGCTAAGTAACACGGTCAGTGATGCGCGTTAGTGACCCTGAGTTCAATTAGCCTTGGCATGCAGCCTAATTTCACAGTGTGACCCCTGCCGATACACACACACACACACTCGCTCGGCAAAACCAGTACGACTCTCTTAAACTGTCTATCCACTGATGATCAATGTGCGCTTTGAAGGAAGCACTAGAGCGGGGGAACGAAGGAGGGGTGAGCAGTTGCAGGAACCATGGATGACAGTGTTGAGGAGGAGGAGGAGAGGTGCATTATGGGACAAGAGGTGAGGAAGGTGACATTGGGTCCACTTTGATGAATGGCCATGCGCATGCAGAGATAGTAACTTTAGAGGCTAAGTGTCCTTTGACCCAGCCAGTAAAGTGTTACGTCAAGATAACAGTTTTAGCATTTGTTTTAAAGCTAAGAGAGAGGGAGGGATTGTGTGTCTGAGGTGTGTGTGTGTGTGGGTGTGTGTAAAGGACACTTGGTTGTAACATCGTCCAATGCACTGAACTTCCATCAGTCTTTTCCTTACAATGCTCTTTTACTTTTCACATGTAATCCTATAAAACTTGTCTTTTTTTTTTTTTATATTTTATTTCTGCACCTACTGGCCAAAAATGTTGCTTATACTTAATTATTGTAAATACTACATGTAGCAAGCTGTAGTCCTAAACTATAAAGATGTGTCAATGGGCACTGATACTTTATTACGTTGCACTAAATAAAACCTGTCATGAATAATGTCAGACAATAAATTGCGTACTTTTGTTTGGTTATAAGGTGTATCAGAACTACAGCAAACTGTTATGAACAACTTTGTGAAGTTTTAGTCAAAAATATCTAGTTTTTAATCTGTTAAATGTCGTTTTAGCAAATAAATGCAGCAATGAAACGTAAAATAAAAATAGACAAAACTGAAGAAAAAACAGCAAATGAGGACAAAGAAAATTGCTAATGCAAATGTTTTTTTTGAAAGACAGAATTTTTTGTTGTTGTAGTGTTTTTATAATGAGAATTAAAACTGTGCAGAAGTCAAATTTCTTCATGATTATAAAATTGCACACAAAGGACAAAAGACACACACAAAAGTCCTCCCTAAAAAAAAAAGCTAACATTTTAAATATCAAATAAGATCTGGCTTATAGTGAGGTGAATGACAGTAGAAGAGGTTATGAGAGCCAGTCTCTCAACATCTGGACTGTTGGTACAGCACAGCTGGAAAAATGGATAAGAGCAGGCGATTTAAGAAAAGAAGAAAAAGAACAGTAAGATATGATGGTGACAAAAGAAATATAATGTAAATTAGAAATATAGACTGAAGGGGAAAAATAAGATGATTAAATTATTTTCCAGAAAAGCCATCCCTCCAATATTCATTTTAACATTTAGGTCTCATTCACTTTATAACAGAATAAAAGACCAACAGAAAATGAAGAAAGGGATAAAGAATCACAAGTAAGAGAGATTATTTTAATAATAAATTGTACATAAAAAAAATTAAATAAAAGGTATATAAGTAAAACTATGCAGCAGTTAATAACTCAAAAATGTAAATGTAACAAACACATTTTTCTTTCTGTTAAAATCATTTTTTACTAATTGAGTAACTGAACCAAATTACATGTTATTTATACCTGCAACTCTTAATATTTTAAGCATTTTTAATAGAGATTACAAAATGATCATTACTGGTCAAAATGATGAAGTTAATTTCCATCTTTATTAACAATCAGTTTATGATTAGTGAGCACAACCTCTAAATTGGAAAAGAAGGACTGAAGCGATTTAAAAGTCGGCCCATAGATTGTTGACAGTTCAAGATAATCTCATCATCAGGTTTATGTTTATTACTCTCAGTTACTGAAGAACGTGTCATTTACATGAAAAGTAAAAAAGAACAAACCTCAGTACTGAGTCTTCTTGGACACCCTTTGCAGTTTGCACAAATTCAACTGTAAGGGTTCCCATAATCAGACAATGCTGCCTGCCAAGAGATCACCTATATCAAATCTGAGAAGATCCCTGAAAAGAGGCGCAAAGTGTTTTTTTCTATTCAAAACACGAATGGTGTCAAAGAGCAGCAGTAATGACTAACAGTAACTCAACCGGTGTGTAAAATGTGCTGAGAGGAATAATGATGGAAATTCTGTTATATCGCTAAGTGCGATAACTTCCACAGCCCTCATGTAACGAGACATTAGGGCACTTTATCCAGCCTTGGAAACTGATTGGTTAAAAATATATGGTTTGTAGCTGAATGGAGCAGATGACTTTATCAAAAGGTTGCCAAGCTTATCTTCACCAATGGAGTTCTTTAAATCTGCTTTGCTTTTGCATATTATATACATAATATTATATGTATATCTATCCATCTATGTGTGTGTGTGTGTGTGTGTGTGTGTGTGTGTGTGTGTGTGTGTGTATGAGAGAGAGAGAGAGTGTGAGAAACACAGATGCATAATCAAGCTTAACCATAACTGTGTTTGTGCTCTTGCATCTGTGTTTGTGGCAGGTGTGAGTGTGTGAGTGTGTGTTGTGCTGATGATTTTCCAGTGATCATGTTCAATGCACAGCAGAGAGTGCATGAACACTGGTTAGCTTGTGTGGCGAAACACTGAGTGTGGCAGGAAACAGAAGAACCTGTGATCTCTGCAAAAACGCTAATGGAAAACCTCACTCAGAAAACGTCAGCGTGTGTGCATAAAGACTAAGTGTGCGTTCGCGTGTGTGCATTCCACCTCTGAGCACAGAACGTCTTGCAAAGTTTTCTAATTTCACAATTATTCTCAAAACTAAGCAAACCAAAGGTTATGTCAGGCTCTCCAGAAGAAGAAGAAGTGCAACGTACAGCTGTGCTTGCAGCAATTAACTTGAGAACCACAGACCTTCCTTTACAGATAACAAGTGAGACTTCCCTCACTTTGTACAAACAAAACAGACGCGATCACAAACCCTAACCTTTAAATAACATTTAACGAAAGCTTTTTTTAACAACAAAGATTTCAAAGATACTGACTTGTTTTTGACATTTAAGCTGCAGCTTAGTTTAATAACTAATTTTAGATAAGAGTTTTAAAAAACTCTTATCTGTTGAAAGTGTGCTCTTTTTCATTCTCTGCTCATTAATCTGGCTTATACTGTGATTACTAATGGCATTTAGGTATATTGGTGACAATTTATATATGATAATTTTATGAAAACACTTGGCCCTGTTTTCCTGTAAACAGGTTGCTAAAGGTATTATCCCTGGGTTGTTTGAATAGAGGCACAGTAATCTGCTAATCTAGATATTCCCCTGGACTAAAGACCTCAGATGGCAGTGCTCAGTGACTGATCTGAGTGTCATGCTTTTGAACTTTAACTACTAACGATGACTTGAAAGTTGCTCTTTGAGTGGCGCTTGCCCTGAGAATTGAAAGTAAGCGTCCCATGGTCGTGTTCCAGCTTTGAATAACTCTCGATTCAGCGTGGAAGTTAAAAAGAGATTTAACTGGGTCACCAGCAGAAAAATCTGCATGCACCCACATTTACAGGTCTACCAATGTGAGAGGTGGTGATATGTGCGAATGTGTGTGCGTTGTGTGCAAGGGTGGGAGGTCACAGGGATGTTCTTGACTGTGTCATCTCCAGCAGCTGTTTCCCTCAAACCCTGCCTCGCCCACTCCACCCCCCTCCCACCCCATCTTCTCACAATGAGACCAATACAAAGGAACAGGAAGTGCCTCCCGTTAAATGGGGCCCAATCAAAGCCATCATTATTCCCGTGTCAGAATTTTTACAGGAAATAGCTTCTCAGAAAATATGCCAGCTGTGCAGGGAGTGTGGTATTATTGTCTTATAGGTCTTGTCTGTTTTCGCTTTCTTTTTCCCTCCCCTTTTTTTTTCGTTCATCAGTCACTGCTAACAAAAGGGCACATAGACTCATCTCGACCACGTGCGCGGCACACTGTCACTGTTGTGCGTTCACTAGGCAAGCCAGGCACTGTGTTCTCTGGGGCTGGGTGGTTATTGTGCACTCTGTGAAAAGGGCATTCCTGCTGTGCCTGCTCCGGCTTCTTGGATTCCCATCCTGAACTGAGCGATTGTCTTTTAAAACCATGCGAGCAGAGCTGAGCCCAGAGAGTGCGCAGATGTGAGAGTTCATATATGATCACACGCTCTCACACACACTCACAGCCAGCTTTGCCTATTGAAGCCACATCTGTAAGAGCACTGCTCAGATTACAGCATAAACGGTGGGTTCAGGTGAAGCCTAACGTTTGCCAGATGCTGCGATTAAGTCACCAGGAGGTTAGCCTAACACTGGAGTGTTGTTGTTGGTCGGGGAGGGTGGAATCATCAGCCTCCTTAACAAGAGGGGCACACATCTGGCGTGAAGCAAAGTAATTTATGAGCATTATCTTAAACAAGCGTGAATAACTGCACTGATGCTCTGGTTTATCTTCATTATTTAACCAGCACAATGGATCAGTAATCTCGGGATTGATTTGAAAAGAAAGGTAGCTTCTCCTGTTTATCTAATCCTCAGCTTGTAATCTCTCGGCCTCTGAGGCCTTGCAGACGTCTGGAGGACAATAATTAACTCAGTCCCTCAACACGTTGACACAGGTGAGCACTGCTCGAGTGGTTAAACACTCATTATGAGGTTGTTGTTACGTGAATGAACACATATGCACACTCACACACACTGATCAGCTAACTTTGTCTTAGCTTGTCTGTCACGTCAGACTTTGGCCTAATCAGCTACAAAATGCCACTGCTGATTGTAGTAACACCGATTAGATAAGCTCCACACCTCCATCCTCTGCTAACCTTTAAAATATAACCCACAGGAAACCGAACATGTTGCACCCCTTGGTTTTTATGAAAACAATGCAGAGCTGCAAAACTTAACGCTAACCTCTTAGAAACTGTTTCTTTCTTGAAACTGAGATGTTGCTTTGTATCCTATAAAGTATTTGAAGTGTCGTATTTATGTGAGATCACGTGTTTCAAGTCATGCAATGTAATCTAACAAGTGAAAGATCCCTGGTTCAGTTCAGAGGTTGTGTCACGAAGGGCTTCTGGTATAAAAATATGCCAATTTAGACATAGCAAGCTGCCCAATGTGGTGAAAGTAGCATATGTGTGTTGAGCTCATCTTTCTTAGGCAGTGGTCTTTATCAATGTAGTTAATATACATCTCTCACTTCTGTCTTTTCAAATATTTGACTAAAAAAAGAAAAAGATCTCAAAATCTGAGCAAATAAATCATCACCGATCACAAATGCTGAATCCCATACAGGAGTTGAGTGAAATAATCCTTTTATGTATCTCATATTATGCATTGATATTTATTGTATTCAAATTGACACATATATATTACATGTGTCAATTTTATTATGAATTTCAAAGTCTTTTTTTAAGTGCTTCAAGTTCATGAGAACTTTCTCGCAAAGGCC